CATTCCTGCAGCGGGGAAGGCTTCCGTCCCGGGAGAACGGGGGCGGCGGGGAGGGCGAGGACCCAGGGCGGGGATGGAGGTGGATGGAGGGTCGGGACGGACCCGCGGGACGGCCACTTTGGAGTGGACGCTGAGGCTCCGGGTGGGGAAAGGATTTCCTTTGGAGAAGAGTGGGGCGCTGGTTGGAGACGGAAGGGAAAAAGGTGAACAGGCTTCCTGCCGGGAGGCTCAGGTGTCTGTCCCGGACGCCCTTCCCACTTTGGCTCGGGAAAGGCGCCATGCTTCCGTGGGCCACATGCTGGGAAGGGGGGTGTCGCAATCCTCTTGGGTCTTGGTTTCGTGTCTTCCTCCCTCCCCGGTGCCCACTGCTGCAAAAAAAACCAAATCTGTTTACCAGTCGCTACCCCGTTTTCTTCTTCCCGGGCGCATTTGGTGTAGCAGCTGGAAAAACTTGGTGGGAAGTGTGGGTATGACGTCTGCTCCGTACCTCGTTATCTTAGGACTGGTAACAACCTAGGGAAGGAAGTTGGCAGATAAGACCTTCGGGCTCAAGGGGGGCCGAGCACCAGGAAGGGTTTCTGTGGTCGTCGTCGTCGGGGTGGGGTGTGCCACACATTTCAGCCTTCTCTCCAGTAGAGCCCCGTGTGGGGCCTTCAACGGGCTTGCAAAACAGGTGGGTGGTGGAAAGCTTTCTCAGGGGTGTGTGCCTGTCTCACGCGCTCCCTTCTAGACAGGAGTTAAGGGACGATGTAGGAGCCTTCAGAGACCTTTTCAGTATTGTGGGTGGGGTGTGTTTGGATCCCTCCTAGCCTTTCCAATTTTCTAGGAAGAAAAACGAAGGGAATAATGTGATGAAAGTAATATGGATCCCATGCTCCACTCCGTGAGGGGCCCGTTTTCCCGTGTTATTCCCAGGGCTTTCTCAGTTACTGCCAACCACGTGCTAAATGCAACCTGTGTAGGTTAAGACATAAAATAGCGCTCATGTTGCCCAACTAAAAGTCGTTGAAGCCTCCTCAGGATGGAACTGTGATGTTTCCCACAAGTGTTTCTTGGAACACTTCATGCCAAATGTCTATAGCGTCAACCTTGGGTTATCCAAAGGGGTGTAGATACCTCCTTCCCCCCCTCCCCTTTCTTTTTTCCTTTTCTGTTGTACAAAGGGAATTTTGAGGTTTTTCACTTAATCCATCTACCCTTTTGGATCTGAACTAACCCTTTGGATTGTTAAAGATGAAGGAAACAGATCAAGTTAATTTTGTCAACCACCAATTGCTATTAGCCTCTGTCTACCGCATCCTGGTGACCAGTCTGGAAGTCTTTCATCTTTCCACTATAACTCCAGCTCTCAAAATGACATTTTCACCGTTTGTCTCTGTCCACCGTGTTCTGCCATCCCCTTTCCTTTGCCAGGCAAACACGTGGGTGCCTGAAATGTGCCAGGCACAGGGCTGACTGAGATGGAATTTGGGTTTTGGTGTCTCCCATTCTAGTTTTTACAATCAGTCTTTAACTTCAGTGGACATACAGCCAACCATCGGCCAGGAAAAGTAGTTTACCTGAGTGAAACAACACTCCCTTCTGATGAAAAGCCATATGGTCTTCCTCTGTCTCCTCTTCACCCTGTGTGTATGTGAGTGAGTTTATGGTGTTAAAGCAAGAAGTGTATATGAATGTGTTTGGCCATATGAAGTCGTTTAGGAAGTATTTTTAAAACTACATTGGAGAGTAAAATAACCTTCGGCCTTGATTGACGTTAGACTTGGAAATCATTTTTTTTTTTTTATCTTTTCCCCTATTATATTAGTGTTGGCTTCCTAGTCAAGGTTTTTCCTTTGACAATGGTAAACATTTACTTACATGAAAATGAGTCAGAAACGGGTTTCTTTATATTTTCCTAGGTCATTAGGGCAAATGAAAGGAGGCACAATGACAAATCGTTTGAAATAATGTATGGCTGAAAAGCATATGGTTTATCAAAAACAGGCCACTTCTGTGCACATTTGGGTCTAAAACATAATTTTTTTCCTCCTTGGCCCCACTGCTCTAGTTAGAATGGCCTAAAACTGAAGCTTTAATGGTTTAATCTCTTCATTGGGAGATCTTTCTTGCTCAGTCAGTAGTGGGCTGAATGACTCTGGAGGCGTAAATAATATAGTTTTGTTTTGTTTTTTCTTTTTACAAAGAGAGCTAAAATATTTCCTCAAGCATATCAATCTAGCAACACTCAGAATTAACCCTGCCCACAACAAAGCAAGTCCCAATTACTGTTTTAGATTTGAGTTAAAAGAACTGAATCCTTATTGTTTATCCTTGCAAGTTAATCTCATAGAGAGGCAGCATGAATTAATGTTAATTGTTACTTTGATTCTCTGCTAAGTTTTTTTTTTCTTAACGTACTTATTCCCAGGGCTTTCTCAGTTACTGCCAAATGATTGTCACATTTCCTGTCTCACTGAGCCTTGATAATTGCTTTATACATTTTTCTGAATTTAGGCATAGGCATTTCCTAGAGATGCTGAATTTGACATTCACGGTTGATTTAAAGGAGTCATCTCAAATCATACTTGATGGCTGAAATAATTATGAATCTGCAAAGTACAACTTAGGTGACCATACCATTGGGTTTTCTCTTAAATTCTGTTGAAATCTGGGGTACAGAAATGGTCCTACCCTTGTTGCAAAGTAAAACCCATAATCAAGTTTAGGAGGGAATTTTATAGAAAATTCTGGGTTTTGATTCCCACCAACTGCAGAGAGTAGGGTAAACAATGAAACAGAAGCCCAAATTCATCACTGTGGTTTGAAAAGGCCTGTTACATCATGTTTCAGGGTGGTGAGTACAGAACCAGGTTGAGACAGCACCAGTTCTATTATTACTCTTGACTCTGATAGGCCCCAACTGGCAACTAGACAGGCTACTTTATGTTATATCTTTGTAGATTAACTAGGAGCTACTATTGCACTTAATGAAGTTTGCCAGTATTTCAAAGTGTGAAAGCCATGTGTTAAGGTCACTTGTACTTACCTTGTTCATCTACCTGCATTCTCTTTCATTGTGACCCTTGTTTTGCACTAATAACATTTTTCAGTGTTAAAACTTTAAAGGCCCCCCCCCCTTTAAACAGTGTTTCTCAATTTTAATTATTGCAGAAGTAAATAGACTTATGACCACCCTTATCTTATGACTTTACTGAAAAGTTTAACAGGGAAGAAAGGTTTATCCTTCTGAAAAGTATTTCCCCATGATATCTTCACTTGCTCCCTTTTCTTTTTCTATTATATTTTGGACTTAAGCTTTTCGTGGTTTCCTCAGGTATGTTTAGGCTTCGTATAATGCAGTCAAGACCTTAAGTGATATGAGCTTTATCTCTGGGTAGGTCAGCTACTAATTTATCTGCTTAATCCTATTTCAGCCACCAAAGTCCTTGGCACTGTCAAATGGTTCAACGTCAGAAATGGATATGGGTTTATAAATCGGTATGTATGTCTCGACATGTTTTAAATACATACTTATGTTATGGTACCGATGGTTATAAATTTTTTACCATACTTTATTAGTGACTTGTATAAGTTTTAAGATTTGTAAGCACTGTCAATATTCTCATTTCTAAGCTACTGGTCATTATCAGAACACTGATAAGTAACTTATTTTTATAAAATCTAGTCATTAAAAGAAACAAGGGGTGGGGGGGCGGTCGATAAATCAGAAATGGGAAGAGCCTAGGGTAATGGAGTCCATATCCATAATCTCAGAGATGGAGAAACAGAGGCTTAGACTGGTCAGGCAACTTTCCTAAGGTCACACAACTAGTGCGTAATTGAGCTGGAACTATTACCCAGGTCAAATGCTGTGTAGGAACTGTAGTGTTTTCTTTAAACCATGGTAACTCCTAACCATATAGGAATGAGAATGTAAGTGCAGGCTGTTGGGAGCATTACGTTTTCACATGATACTGTCATTTGCTTTGCTCCCCCTCCTACCTTGCTCCCCAATTCTGAAATCCTCCATCTCCCCCCCCCCCCCCCCCTTTTTTTTTTTGGGGGGGGGGGGGGGGGGGGGGGGGGGGG